CTCCAGACAAAGGAAAAACAGCTGGTCATGCTCCAGCTAAAGATTCCCAGCAGACACTGCCTCCAGCATTGAAGGAGACAAGACCCAGGAATCAGGACACAGCTGACAACAGAAGTCAAGGGTGTCATCAGATTTCATATTGATTAAACCTTTTTCCTCATTCCAAAACTGTGACTTGTAAAGGTGGAAGAGAATGAATAATTATTAAATTCCAGGCTTATCACCATCCCTGAATTCTCAGAAGTATACACATGTAATTTTCCTTTACACTCATCTATAGTGATTGAGCATGGTGGTGCACTAGGTGAGCTTCAAGGGGTTAGGGACCTCTGGCTGATTTGTCCAATGTATCCCAGCCATCTAGAATAGAGGCTGGGTTCTTTAGTGGTCAGTGAATAATTTGCTGGACTGAATTATTCATGTTGTTTTTGATTTTGCTTTTCACTTATCTGCAACATTATAGTAATGATTTAGTAAAAAATCAGGCCTTTCAGCTACAGTCTGTTAGGTACCACTTAACGTCCCTTGTAGAGAGAGGTGATGTTCTATACATATGTAAATATACATATATATATGCACACACATGAAATCTAATTATTTAAACTCTTTTACCTTCAACTTGTTTGTTTTCAATTAGTGTATCTTCATGATAGTAACACCATGCTACTTTATTTTTGTCAGTCTAATAAGTGGCCATACCATAAGTTATTTAACCAATTTACTGTTTTTTTTTTTTAATGAAATCTCTGGGCCACTTTTATGTAAATTCCAAGGAACATTTGATATAAGACTTAAGATTAGTTTACAACTATGCAGACTTATTAATTACATATTAGAACAAATTATTTTCCACTGGGGCCAGGAAGCATTTGTCAGGTTAGGTTCTTCCTTCAAAGGATGATACTTGAAGATTTACACAACTTTTGAAATATGCATTAATTTAGATTCATTTTTTTCCCTCTTGCTCAGTGGTCCCACACTCTCTCCCTAAAAGTCACTACTTTTGCCTTCACCAGATGACAGGAACAGAGGTGTAAATTGTTCTCCTTAATTCAGTAGTCCATAAGGGGTTGGTTTTGAAGGTGCCTGGCTGGGATCTGCATATGTGAGAATGAAAGGAACAATAAATTACCTAAAATTATATATGTGTATAGGTTTAAAAATTATTTCAGTGAGGCTTAATATAAATATATGTAGTTTACATAGGATTGCAAGGCTCTTCTCATTTACTAGCTATTTAGTCTTAGTTAAGGTAATTCATCTAAGGTTCATTTACTACATAAAACACTATAAAATTACTACATAAATTACTTTTGCTACATAAATTTACTACATAAATTATTGTAAAATAGGAATAGCTACATTGGTTGCCTTAAATGCCTAACAGGTGCCTGGCACAAGAAGATGCACAATCAAATGATAACTATTTTTAGCTATTACTACAATGATTGTCTTTAGTCATTGCCTATTACATTGACTTATAGTCATTGCAAATCTGTCAGCTTTAGAAACTGGATGCAAAGACTTGTTTTACTAAAAAAAAAAAAAAAAAATCAGTATAATATGAATCAGTCTGGTTCATAGAATCAATAATAATTTTAAGGTAATAATAACATAATGACATAAAGCACTTGCTATTACCAGGCATTGTTCTCAGAGCTTTGTGTATATTACCTTGTTTATTCCTCCCAATTATCCTCTGAATTAGATGCTATTGCTATCGCTGTTTTGAAGAAACAAAGGCACAGGTAAGTTAGTTAACATAGATGAGGATTACACAGGCAGAAAGTTGTTGTGGAGAAAGAATCTGAGCTGGGAATATGGTTTCAGAGTATATCCACTTAACCATACTGTACTGATTACACGTCAGAGCTGGGGGCTCAGGACCTGGAAGTTCCATTTTATGTATAATATATGTATTATTATCTATTATATAGAGAAATAATATTTCTATATATTACATATATATTTCTATATATTATATATATAATATGTGTGTGTGTGTGTATATATATCATATATATGTATCAGGCTGAACAATTGTGTCCCCT